TTGAGCCACAAAGTCCAATAACTTTATTTAGCAACAGGTCTTGTTCAGCAGTCGACGCCACACTGAGAGTCCTCCTACAGACAGACGAGATGAGAAAGATGAGTGTTCTGTTGTAAAAAAAAAAAAAACAATTCCCAGCAACAATTAGAGGAAATTCTGGCGAAAAAAAAAAATACATTAATGCACTACCAATAAAGCTCTCCCGGCGGTGATGCATTGTGCTCGGAAATGAAAAATGCATCAACCTGAGCTGCGTAATTTGCATGTCATTTCTTTTTTAAAAGGGATGATTTTTCCCAGCGGATGAAATTAACTAGTTTTTTATACATTATGCAAAAGACAGACATACATTAAATGTGAAATATAAAACAGGACAGGTCCATCGCTGAAGCTGGATAATATTAGGCTTGTTCTGTTTCACTTTGGGGCAGCACAACGGCTCAGTGGTTAGCACTGTCGCCTCAAAGCAAGAAGGTCACCGATTCAAGTCCCGGCTGAGGGAGTTGGCAATACACTGTGTGGAGTGTGCAGGTTCTCCCTGTGCTGGTGTGCATGGGTTTCCTCTGGGTGCTCCGGTTTCCCCCACTGTCCAAAGATGGTGAATTGGATGAACTAAATTGCCCATAGTGTGTAATTGTGAGCGTGTATGGGTGTTTCCCAGTACTGGGTTGTGGCTGGAAGGGCATCCGCTTCAAAAATATATGCTGGAATAGTTGATGGTTCATTCTACTGGGGTGACCACTGATAAATAAGAGACAAAGTCGAAAGAAAATTAATGTTTTGTCCTCTGGGTCCGTGTACGTTTTGTTCATTTGTTTTCCATTTTTAAATGGAATAAAGAAAATGGAGATAACAGTCGTTTTTCCGTTTTTCTTTTGCTCACGAGAAAACGAAAAAAACGAGGTTTTGGCTGGATTTTCGTTTTTTGGTTTAGGGTAGGAAAACGGAAAAACGACTTTAAAATTCATTATACACATGTAGGCGGTGCTGAAACGCCCACTTTCCTCTAATTGGTCAACCAAATCTGAGCTCGTGACATCGCCCTCAAAATAAAAGCCTACGCAGGCTTTTAATTATATTATTTAATTATATATAAACAAAGTTTACATATTCTATCATTTGAACCACACACAGTTAGCAGGCTTACATTCATTGCATATGTATAATTTAACTAAAAATGTAAATTAGCACTATTCTTAGACATATGTCATTAAAAAAGTTAATAGTTCTGAATTTTAAAGTCGTTTTTCCGTTTTCCTACCCTAAACCAAAAAACGAAAATCCAGCCAAAATCACGTTTTTTCGTTTTCTCGTGAGCAAAAGACAAACGGAAAAACGACCGTTTTCTTCATTTCCTTTATTCCGTTT